CTGAAACATTGATTTTTGAATTCCAAATTAGAGAGTGATTATTAAAAATCACAAATGCCACATAACATTAAAACTTGCTGTGCACTACTAGCTATTTATCTGAGAGATACAGGTATGCTGTTTCATAGGGGCACATGCACCCCAATATTTATAGCAGCACTATCGACAATAGCCAAAGGATGGAAAGAGCCCCAATGTCCATCGATGGATGAATGGATAAAGACAATGTGGTATATAGATATATATACAGATATAGATATAGATATAGACAGATATAATGGAGTATTACTCAACAATCAAAAAGCATGAAATCTTGCCATCTGCAACTACATGGATGGAACTGGAGGGTATTATTCTGCTAAGTGAAATTAGTCAGAGAAAGACAAAAATCACAGGACTTCACTCATATGAGGACTTTAAGAGACAAGACAGATGAACACAAGGGAAGGGAAGCAAAAATAATATAAAAACAGGGAGGGGGACAAAACATAAAAGACTCTTAAATACAGAGAACAAACTGAGGGTTGCTGGCGGGGTGATGGGTGGGGGGGATGGGCTAAATGGGCAAGGGGGCATTAAGGAGGACACTTGCTGGGATGAGCACTGGGTGTTATATGGAGGGGATGAATCACTGGAATCTACTCCTGAAATCATTATAGCACTATATGCTAACTTGGATGTAAATTTAAAAATAAGTAAATAAATAAAGAGACGTAGAGGGATATGTTGTTTAAAGGAAATAATAGTGAATTACTTTATAATATAAATTATTGCCCCTTAAAAAAACTAAATCTCAATGGAAGAAAAAAAGGTCATTATTTTTCTCATATTAAATTGCACATTTTCTGAAAAAAAAAAAGGTTTACTGTGCATTTATGCACATCTATACTGCGCACAGAAAACTGCACATTTTCTAAAAAATAAAAATAAAAAAAAAAGGAAAAATGATTTCATTTTGTTTTCTAAGAGCGCACCCCTGTGGAACTGTTTCTTCACACCGCAGGTGATGTGCTGAGGAAACCAATGGGTATAAATCTGCAAGCTATTTTGAAGCTCTGAAAGAATAAGAATTTGGCATGCAAACTATATTTAGCAACTTTAATTCTTGGTCTAATTGAAGCCGTCAATAGGAAACTATTTCCTGGACGGGGCTGGACTGAGGATACTGCCCGTGACAACCAACTGGACATAAACATACGATCGTACTGAGAATTCAATCTTAAGAAGCCAACATCTAAAAAGCTTAGCTAAATTAGCAACTGCCCACCGTCTCCACATACTAATTTTAAGGACCTCTGTTGTCTAAAGAATCAATGAATCAGAAACTTGTTTTAAATAACCTCAAGTTTTTAAGACATTTTCTAACTAGAAATTTTAGAGATGTGCAGACTGTAAAAATGGTATAATCTCCCAGAAAATATTTAGTTGAGAGATAACGAGAGAAAGGGACACTAAGTTTTATAAAAGCTACACATTTCTTGGGGCACCTGGGTGGCTCAGTCGGTTGAGTGTCTGACTCTTGATTTTGGCTCAGGTCGGGATCCCAGGGTCATGGAATCACGTCCCACATCAGGTTCCGCGCTGAGTGTGGAGACTGCTTAAGATTCTCTCTTTCCCCCTCTGCCCCTCTCCCCTGCTCATGTGTGCTCTCCAAAAAAAAAAAAAAAAAAAAAAAAGGTGCATATTTCCTGAACCTTCAAGTTAAGAGAAAACCCCTGCTGTCCAGGGAAAGGCATAGGGGCTGGGAAAAATGAGGAGTAAGAACCACGTGACCGAATGTTACAAGCAACTGATGAAAGATATTAATGTCGGTCAGTTACAACTCCGAGTGCCCATAAGGAGGGGCTGACGTCTTAAGACTCCTTTCTCAAAAGGTACTAGACACGGCAGAATATTATCGAACAGCCATTAAAATGATTATATTCTTCCTCATTTAGTTTCATGTTCACAGATTAAGATGTTCAAATATATTAAATAGACGAAAAAATTATAAAACCCTATACATGACATGATTCCATTTTTATTTAAAAATAAAAACACATACATACACGTAGACTGAACAAACTATGAACGGGTACACACATCAAAGTGTTAACCGTAGTGGTGGTGCTTGCTGATAGGATGCTAAGTGATTTTGTATCTTGTTTTGTGTACTTTTCTACACGGCCTAAGTGCTCCCTGGTGAACACCGTCCACTTCAGGTAAGAAAAACAACAACGCAAATTTCCATTCTGGAAAAAAAAAATGTCAGGGGGAATCCTAACCAATATTTAAATCCCTTGGAAAATCGTACACCTACTAGGGTCCTCTTTACTGTAAAAAGACAAAATGTTTGTAAACATATTTCATAAATATACTGTGTACTATTATGGACCATTAAAGTGTACTTTGTTTTATGAGATATTAATGAAAACTTCTCTGTAAACTAAGCTTTTTAAGACAAATTATATTTGAGTTTGCTACTTAAATCCCACTTCTAATCCCTTTGGGTAAGAGAATGTCTATTCCCTAATTTATCTTGTGAAACCCAGATGTTTTGCTTAAAGTGAGATTTATTTTATTTTTATTTATTCCTAAGAAAGGAATCCATCATCCTTTGATTTAGGTAACCAAATGATCTAGAATTCCAATTACTGTAAATTAGATATTACGATTCATACAGCCAGTGTTTTATCTCTGTTTTCTGAATATTCACTACAGGTAAAATGTATTAAAAAATTTAAGAGTATGGAAACATAGGTCTTTTAAGTATTGACCAGCACGAGCCACTGCGGATAGAAACAGCTTTATTTTTTTCCACTTAAGCTTTATCAAATGGACTATTCAAAAAGCATACACAAGAGCAAAAAAAAAATATGTATCACATGCAATCAAACTTGTTTTGCTTTACAGTCACTGGTTTTCTTTTGGAAAAGAATACACATTTGAATAACTTCTAATTCAAACATTTCCCATATACTTCCATTTCATTTCCTTCTTTAAAGTTAGCAACAAACAACACATTCTAGATAACTGGTCATCACATTCTTTCTCATTTTTATTCATACTGAAATAGTATAAAGACTATAAAATCAGACCATATACTGTTCAGAAATCTGAAAAGCTTCATTTACAGAATAGATTCCAATGTGTTAAGAAACCACACACAAGTGCTATTTTGCAAAATGGATAAAAAATAGGATAAGTTGTCTGAAAGCAAAGATAAACAGTAATAGTTCCTTATCTAAATAATTTTAATCAAATGAATAATATATTCATTTGGTAATAGCCTCTATCTTTCATAGAATATAAAAAAAGTGCTCAGATTACACTTAAAAAAATAACAAAAATCTCACAGAACTGAAAGAATTTAAATAAAGATGGTAGCAAGGGGACATCTCGAGTTCATTTCCGCTCCCAAGACAAGGAGGCAGCAGAGGTGAATTCACCTGAATCCAGAAAGGGACGACAACTCTGAGACTAAACGTGCAGCTGCCAGCCTTGAAAAGATAAAGATAGAAACTGTCTTTGAAAGGTTCTCGAGTGTCCTTCTTTGGATGAAAGCCATTAACATAAAACCAGATTTCTCAGCTAGACTGCGTGTCGACTGACAAAGCTGGGTCGCTCTCCTTGTTGTCCTTGTCTAGCACTCTTAATACTCACTCAGCTAGGGCTCAAAAGAACCAACAATTAACTCATCAGGATCAATACACTATCTGTTCCCAGAACAGCACATGAACGCAGCAAGTGAGCAGAAGAATCTTTGCGCCCGGCTCTGGCAGTTCACTGCGGCCGACCTTGAACGTCCCCCTCAGGGGCAGCACCATGGTTCCCCGACAGGGGTGACTGATCGCTTTCCTCTGAAGGAACCTTAACTGAATTCTGCAGGAGGAAGCCACGCTCGTGGCAAGATGTAAGAGTCCAGTTTTCTCTTCATGGGATACTCAAGAGTTGTGATCGTCAACAGTGCCCTTCTACCTGCCAATCGCTAAGACGTGATGCAGCACCTAACGACGAGGACATTCCAAGGCCAAGGGTACTATGGACCAAGCCTACCCTGCTAGCTTTACTGGTACTGAGATTACTCACAACACCTCTGAAATCCTATTCTGAAACTTCTTTCAAAATTCAGGTATGTCCACAAAACAGCATGTGGAGCATAATTCTATTTATGTTGAAATTATACATGCATACGTGTGGATATACAGAACAATTCTCTCTTTCTCTGGTATGGTAGAATTTCAGATTATTTTTACATTCTAATTTATAGTTTTATTAATGTGTTAATTGCTTACAGTGAGTTCCATTTTGTCATCAGAAAACAACTAAGCTATCTTCCTTTTATTACTATTTTCTAATGTTCATTTTTTTTTTGAGAGAGAGAGGGACAGAGCCTGAGCAGGGGAGGAGCAGAGAGAGAGGGAGACACAGAATCACAGGGTCTGAGCTGTCAGCACAGAGCCTGACGTGAGGCTCAAACTCATGGATCGTGAGATCATGACCTGAACCGAAATCAAGACAAGACGGGTTAACCGACTGAGCCACCCAGGCGCTCCAAGCTGTCTTCATTTTAGAGGGAAAAATAAAAAAAAGTTCTATAGACTCTGAAGGCAGTTCCAAATACGAGTCTATCAAATACTCTTGGGAGACTTATTTTGCAGAACAAAATTCCAGAAGAATGCTAAACCCACGCTATCAGAAAAAATGGCTTTTCTCGCTACCCTATCTTCAGTTAGCCAGGTACCTGCCCATGGCAGGTGTTAACACAGACACACACACAGACACACACACACACACACACACACACACACACACCCTATCTGAATGAATAAATACACGGTTTATTTAGATGCTGAATTTCTAGACATGTGATTTTTAAAATCATTGTTTTAGGATCTTTCCCTTAGCTAACTGAAATTATTTCCTAATGTTTTATCTAAAATCAGTGCATTTAGGAGAAAAGTTTAAAATCAGTAATGGGTTTCCAAGTACTAACTTTTATAATACGTGCGTTTTTTTTAAAAAGATCAATAGAAAAGAGGCAAAATGGGGTATGAAATGAACTAGTGGCCGAGCAGCTGGCTGCAGAAGACAGGGAGGAGCTGATACAGAGCACAAGAAACCAAAGCTGCTCTGTCGCTCATGGTCTCCAACACAACTCAGTTCTAACTACAAACTGAGACGTGCGAGTCTCCTCTTCCTTCCCGGCACCGTGCCTGTCACCTTGACGGTGGTGGACGAGGGACACTGGCTGACTGGGTGAGGGGCCAAACAAAAGCGAGTGAGAGGGGGAAAAAAGAAGCCGGCCTCTGCCTCAAATTCCCGAGTGCAGCACCTGCTCCGTGACTCGCAAACCAGAGGGCAAGGCACGGATTGTTCACCTCTTGCCCCGGAACAGAGGTCAGAATGACTCCTGTGCTTCGTTACGTGTGACTTGTAGTGCAGCTAGTAGTCCGATATTAACTAATTTTTAATCAGCAACCAAAGACAAGTGTCCTGAGTTCGAAGGAATGAAAAATTTAGTGTATGTTTACTTCTGGTGGGTCTTATTAGGCCAAGGCAGGAGCCAATATTTTGCAAAAACAAAATGAAAAAACCAAAACAAACACAAAGAAAACTCCACTTCTTAGATTTTTAGAAATACGGCAAATCATCTACACAACTAGGGTAACCATATATTTTGCTGTCCAAACTGGGATACTCTTGTAGTACTCGTTCTAGGAAAAACTAATCCGGTCAAGACAACAGACACGATGGGGACTGTCCTGGGTAAATGAATATCTGATGTTCACATGACATCCTTTCTTCAATGTTTATATTCTTTTGAGTTTTCTATTAACTACATAACATTCAGCAGCAATTTAATACTGAACACCGAATAACAACACAGTCTCGTTCTCCTGAGAAGACGTTTTCTAAGTGGTGAGACAGACCCCCTCACTGTCCTCCCCACGTGTAAGGTTTTGTAGCGTAAACTAATGTGTTGAATGGATCTGAGAAGTCTGTTGTAATTTCTTTGACAAAAAAAAGCACAACAGTGATTTAAATTAGTTAAGATCCACTTACTAATTTTACTTTCCAAAATAGTAACATGAGAAGTTTATACTGTATCTTGCTCATGAAACAAACTTCCAAAATGATAAGCCCCAATTATGAGGCTAGGTCACGACGTATTTTTAAAATCTTTGTATTAACCAGGAGATTCTCACAAATACATTGCCACAAAATATTTTAGAAAAGCCATATAATAGTCAAAATAAAAAAGTCTAATCTGTGGGCGGGTCCGGAACGTCCCCGGAGGGAGGGGCATGTACCGTGCGGCGCGCGTCACGGGCACAGGGTGGGTGCCCGGGCGGGAGCGGGGGCGGCGTGGGTTCAGTTCCGGAACAGCAGCATCCGCTCGGAGCACGTCTGCCCCACCAGCCTCGCGTACTGCAGCACAGCGGCCTCCTCGCCCGGGTCTTTCTGCTGTTTCTTGTAAACGCCGTAAGGCATTATGGCTTTCTTGTGGAACACCTGCAAACGGTCAGGGTCTTTACTGCGACCTTCATCCACTGCAATAAGAAAGAAAATATTCATTAGAAAGTCTCATGTCCAGCTACTTCTCATTTCTGAATTTAAAAATGTTTAATTTCTGGGGCGCCTGGGAGGCTCGGTCGGTTAAGCGTCTGACTTCAGCTCAGGTCACGATCTCGCGGTCCGTGGGTTCGAGCCCCGCGTCGGGCTTTGTGCTGACGGCTCGGAGCCTGGAGCCTGCTTCGGATTCTGCATCTCTCTCTCTCTCTCTCTGCCCCTCCCCTGCTCACGCTCTGTCACTCTCTCAAAATATTAAAAACAAATGTTTAATTTGAGTAATAATTATGTGTTAAGATGTTCTCCTCGAGCCGTGTATGTTTAAACGAGGGCGTGCGGCATGAACGTTAAGATGAACCTGAGTATGTTAATAAATAAATGCCCTGACAAAAGGTGATAAATTCCCTCCCCTAAGAGAGCTGGAACATCCGGAAGAGAACTGCATGCAATTAAACAACCGGCCTTGAACACATTCCTTTCTCCTAACGGGAAAGTTTACAACTCTCTAGCATCTTTCCTGGGTCTGAACTGAACGGACCTTGCCTGTCCCCAAGCCAACGTACTGAGGTTCTCATCACTGCAACAAAGCTTTCTGCAACCCAGCGGCTTGGCTGACTAGAGCCGAGCAGGTCAGCGCACTGGGCAGGCAGGGTCCGGGGGCAGCGGGCAGATTCTTCCGGCTTTCATGGAGGATGCGGCAGGGATGGCCAGTGGCTGCTGCTGTCGCTTCTCCTCTTTTCTCACAGAAACAAATCCCTGGTTTCTGCAGGACACAATGGTCGCCTGGAGGAAAGCCTGATTCCCAGCTGCTCCTGCTGTCGGGTGTGGCCTCGTGACCAAGCTCTGGCCAACAGGATACGAGCAGGAGTGTCTTGTGGCAATTTCTAGGAATCCTTTAAAAGAACAGCTGGTCTTGTGCCCTCTCCCCCTTTTATTTTTCAACCCTTCCTTCACTGTGCTGCCTGCTTCATGAACGTCATGGCAGGGCTGCCCACCTGTCTCCTCCTGAGCCCGAGACTATGAGATTTCTCTTAGGTCAACAAAAACTAACGCAAGAAGGAACTCCGGTACCAGAGGACTCCGTGGGCTAAAGCTACCAGGGCAGCCCTGGACTGCCGATGTAAAGAATTTCATAGAAAAAAAGAAACTCCCTTGTTTCAGCCAATTTACTCTAGGTCTCAATTAATGGCAGCTGCTCCTAATTCCAGCAGATAGAGGGACCACCCCGACAGTATGTACTTCAATGTATAATGTCTTTTATCAGGGAGTTGGCCAGGCCACTTCCAAAAACCATCCTCCAGCTGCGGTTCTCAATCCTGAGTACATACTGGGTCTCTGATTGCCTGTACATCTCACCGATAGTTAACATCGGGCTGAATGATAAAGCACCAGAGAAATCTTGTGAAAGTGGTTTTACGAGTAGAAAGTTGAAGAGGACATTTATGATATAATACTCCCTGCATATCCCCCTCTCCCTTGAGCACTAGGCATATAACCACCAACTCCTCTTGCCCACAGGTCCTGTCCCTATGCTATAATAAAAGCACATTTTGGCACTGAAAACGTCTCAAAAATTCTTTCTTGACCGTTCATTCGTGGCCCTACATAATGTCTATATTTATAAAATGACGTGTAACCATTTAAACATTTACCCTAAAATATTTTAGGACAAACACACTTTGAACATTCAAACTAATGGAACATTCTAGCAAATAAAAATGTAAAATCTGATGTGCCATCATCTTATTTTATCTCGAACGAATGCCACTCTTTTATTCTTTGCTAATATGACACATAAAAATAGAAAATTAGGAAAATGCCCACCATGCAGAATTTATATTAACTATTTTTTAATGTTTATTTTTTTATTAAAAATTTTTTTAATGTTTATTTTTTTGAAGGGATGGAGAGACAGAGCGTGAGTGGGGAAGGGGCATAGAGAGAGAGGGAGATACAGAATCCGAAGCAGGCTTCAGGCTCTGAGCAGTCAGCACAGAGCCCGACGTGGGGCTTGAACCCACGTATCACAAGATCATGACCTGAGCCGAAGTCAGACACTCAACCAGCTGAGTCGTTGGCTCAGTAAATGGAATGCAGAGCCACAAGGCATTGGTAAGAGAAACAAAGGGAAAGATATTTTTATAAATTTTTAAAAACCTGATATTTCAGTAACTTGAACTAACTCAATGAATTCTCTGGGAATTAGTCATCAAAATTACCACATATTCAATAAGCACATTAATTTTTAAATTCATCTTTTTTTAATCTTAAAAGTTATGCAAATTGCACTACTAGGTATTTACCCAGAGAATACAAAAATACAGATTCAAAGGGGGTACATGCACCCCGATGTTAACAGCAGCATTATCTACAGTAGCCAAATTATGGAAAGAGCCCAAATGTCCATCCACTGATAAAGGAATTGTGTATGTGTATATATGTCTATATATTAGAATACTACTCAGCTATCAAAAAGAATGACATCTTGCCATTTGCCACAACATGGATAGAGCTAAAGTGTATTATGCTAAGTGAAATAAGTCAGAGAAAGACAAATACCGTATGATTTCAACTCACGTGTGGAATTTAAGAAATAAAACAGATGAACACAGGAGAAGGGAAAAAAAAAAAAGAGAGGGAGGCAAACCATAAAAGACTCTTAACAACAGAGAACCGAGGGTTGCTGGAGGCAAGGTGGGTGGGGGGATGGGCATGAAGGAGGGTACTTGTGATGAGTACTGGGTGTTATATGTAACTGATGAATCACTAAATTCTACTCCTGAAACTAATTATTACAGTATATGTTAACTAGAATTTAAGCAAAAACTTAAAAAAAAGTAACGCTTGTAAAAACTCAAATAATCCAGAAATAAAAAAATTGAACGATGTCAGCACATGGAACCCTTTCTCCCCCACTCCTCTTTTCCTCAGCAAACTTCCACCCACGTTATCAGTGTTCAACAATTTCAGAGGCTACATTTAAATATTAGGAGTTTCGGATCACATTCTATCCATACCTTAAATTAAGGCCAGAAAATCAAATCAATCACCCTTTCAGTGGATGTACTGTATTAAACTTCAGAAACCGCCGATTATCCTTATAGCGAAAATACGATGCGCTTTTCTCGGCTTAACGATCTGCAGTGTTACTGTCAGTAGTTGCATCTGCAATGAAGGTTAATTCTGATTCGCGGCACATTTTATATTATTAGTATTAAAACCTAAACAAGAAATATTCTGCCAGATTCTTCCATACAAGTACTAACCAGGCCCGACCCTGCTTAGCTTCCGAGATCAGACGAGATCGGGCGCGTTCAGGGTGGTATGGCCATAGACACTGCCAGATTCTTAAGACACCAAAAATGTTGATTTATTTACTGAAGTAAAAACAACAACAACAACAAAAGCATTCCCGCGCCCTCACAAAATGCTTTGTGATCATCCTGAATCGCTCGCCTGGTAAGTGTCATCGGTGCTGGTAGACAAAACCCCACACAGCTAAATCCACGTGGCACAACAGGCCTCTTCTTGAGGGGACTCGAAATTGACTAGAAAAATAAGCCACTCTGAGATTAAAGACCATCTGCCATCTCATCCAAGGGACACTGCCAGCTTACTGACAAGTCTTAGAAAGGTGTGCCAACAAGGACCTCTTGCACCCTTTCTTTCTCTAATGTATCACAGTTTTGTAAGATAAAAACCAAAGGCAATCCCGCAAACTCTCTGAGTTGAGCATCTGATCACTTGCAATACAAATATGCTGTTAAATCCATGATGTTTTAATCTTCAAGGGAAACTTGTCACGATGGGCAACGACTGCTTGATTTTCCCCAGCTTTTTATTTGCAAGAGATGAACTGCACATCACAGGCGCTTTCCGACGAAAAGAATCTAGAGCTCACGGCTTTACTTCTTCTTATGGGGATTTACCTCATTCGTTATTCTCCTAACGTCTAGGCTTCCCAGAAAATGATGAAATGGTCTATTTTCTTACCTTCATTATTTATTGGTAGAGCATTATTTCATAAACATGAAAACAAGTTACATGCTTGACAGTTTCTCAGGACGATGGCCGTGCAGACGGCAAATGTGGCAACGCGAATGAAGCTGAAGTTGAGTGAAACTGTGATGCAACAGAAAGAATGTGGAATTGTGAAGAAGGCATGAAAGAACCCAACTCTGAAACCAAACTCAACTATGGAAAGTTCACTATCAAGTATGATTTAGAGTATCTTCATGTGACAAGAGGTATTAACAAACGTTTCGATCACTATGGGGAAGGGGGAGAATCCATGAAAGGCAGATTTCAGCGCGGGCAGCAAAGGGCCAGGCAAGGGAATGCGTGGCACGTGTGACAGAAATGAACTCCACTCGGCAGCTACTTGGTCAAGTTCACTTGGTAGGAGGCTCAAAAAATTGCTCTGGGAATCCAAAAGCAGTCGGGGAGAATTACACATTTTCATAATCTATAAGGAATAATGTTGCTAGTCATTTCTCTTGGAATATTCTTTTGGACAAAATGAAAACAAATCTAAACTTAGCTTATGTAAAATACCATGGAATAGTAGCTTTATTGACATATAATTCTCCTACAATTCATCCATTTAAAGCGTATGATTCAATGGTCTTTAGTGTACTCACAGACTTGTGCAGCCATCAAAACAAGCAATTTTAGAGCATTTTCAGCATCCCAGAAAGTAACCCTACACCTACTAACAGTCGCTCCCCACCCCATCTCAACTTCCCTAGCCCCAGGCAATACCAGTCTATTTTCAGTCTCCACATGCAATCTTTTGTGACTTACTTCTTTCACTTGGCACAGTTCGCCCACGCTGCAGCATATAATTGCACTCGTTCCTTTTTATTGCCAAATAATATGCCATTGTATGGACACACTGCTTTTTACTTATCCAGTTGATGGGCACGTGGGTTACTTATACTTTTAAACTATTATGACTAATGCTATGAACATTCAGGTCAAA